AATCTTGGAGGCGCAGCCCTGTGTGTTGTAGTAGCGAGACTCCAGACCTCGCAAAGCGCAAACTTTGACAGAGTAATGGCAACGAGACCCGCGTCTGTCAAACGGTCAACCGCCCAAAGCCATGCGTCGGCTCCAGGGCAATCTCATCACTGAGGACTCCGTCGAGACATCGCCACCGCGCAGGATCAGCAAGGTGATACCGAGCCGTGAGCGCGAAGAACTCGAGAGAAGGTGTGTCCTATATCCAAGTGTTCTTATCGACTGGTAAGAGGATGATGGACTGGGCGAGATGCGGGACCATCAGACCAAAGGAATAACGGCTCAGAGGATGAAACTCATAAAAAGTGTCTCCATCTCTCTCTCAGAAAAGGGCAAGACCTATCGGAGACTTGGAGAAGTAAGGCGGCTTCCGTGGAATGGTAGACCTCTTACGAACGGGATTGCGGCCTCGTCTACTGGATACACAGCATGTAATCTTAGCCGATGAGGGGATTTGATGCTTTGTCTCTTGCAGTGGGGCCTCTGTGAGACTCCTGAGCCGAGGCTGCACACGGCAGAAACATCCCTAGCGATCAACTCGACTCGGTCGAACATAAAAAATTCCTCGCGGCAGCTCAGAGAGCGTAGTCTGGTCGGACCAGGCTTGAGCTCGCGATGGCCGTTCTGTCTCGTTCTCTTCACGTTAGAGGCTGTCACTTTGGGGAAGGGGGTTCGCGGGCACAAGACGGCCACCACCGCAGGCGCAAGAGCACGCCTCACTCTTTTCCATTTGAATCAATCTCATTGTAGCTACTACTTTGATCAGCCAGCTTTTGTCAAACGTCGTGACAACACGCAGTGAGGAGACCAGACTGATACGAGCGCCTACGCTACGCCGCAGGTCGAGTTTCTGCGTCGCAGCTCTGATGGAACCCCCCCGCCAGGAGATTTAGCCTGTCTCTGGTACCTAGTCTCAGGCCCTTACAGACTCCCAGCCGAGCCACAAAGTTGGGGTCAGGAAATGTGCCTTGGAGGTATTCGAGCTTTGCTAGTGGAATGGAGACGGGGCAAGTGTCTACCCAATGGATCAGAGCGCTTCGTATGGCCGTCCGCCGCGCCGCCGTGGCCGATCCATAGAACCATGGATGTTGTGAGGCATCTGCGGCGAAGAGAGTGCGGGACCCTCTCACTCGTCGAAGATCCTCACTCGCCTGAAGCGAACCGGACAACTTCCGAAAACCCCAACGCGTGTACTATACCTAGTCATCGTGCGTGCGGCGCGTTCATCCCACCCGACCGCATCAGCGCCGGACAGGTGCCCTGCGGCCTGCCGGAACCGGACGTTTTGGACTCGCCTACGAGCTCCCCTCGCCCAGGTGGTCCTTGCGATTCTGATAGACACACTGGACTATATGCTGTGCAGACTCAAGGATGTGAGGCTGTTGTCGCAGCCGGACTGGATCCCTTCTCGGGGTCAAATTTGGAAGCGGGGATTACGTCCTCATCATTCCGGGATGATAATCACGGCTTACGCAGTGGAGACCTTCCATTGATCGGCGGAAGTTACCAGGGAGAGACTCGGTGTTGCCTTCTGGTTCAGACCGAAGATTGAAGTCGGGAAACGGTTGTGTGGGTATTTTTAATGCCCTACACAGTTGCCCCCTCATGCTGGCAATTTGAGCGAAACACACACTTTACCATTCGCTGGGCGGAAGAGGTCGCGCAGTCGATTCCACGACATGACCCAAGGCAACTGTCCCCCGGCCTGGTGTGAAACTCGACCGATAGACCAGCAAACACCAAATGCTCCCTGGCTTCGCAACAAGACATCCGGCACCTCGGTCCAAGCCCAAGCGGCCAAGCTGTGGTCTTGCATTGCCAAGTCGACGGTTAATATAAGTCCCTTTGGACCTGAATCGGCAAACATGGCTCTCCTCATTCTACAATGAAAGTCCGTGGATGGGCTTAATTCATCGCATCTGGTTCAGGATCAGACACGCTACCGATGTGCAATCCCGGGAACAGTGCCGTGGACCCAATCCTGACGCAGATATTCTCCTGGATCTCAAGTGGAAAGGGTGATCTTGAACGGACCCAACACCAAAGGACGTTATCCGCTCAGACCATGCCCTTCAGCTAGAGCCCGGACGCAAGCAGCCCAATGACGAATATCCATACCAGCCCCGACGGCTTGTGTGCACGAGCCCCCTAGGTTGGGGCGGCTCAGTCTGCCCATGGGAGTTCGGCTCGCTGGCCCTGCTCCGGGGACATCACAGGGTTATGTATGATTCGAGCACGCATACCAGTGAAGGCTGCGGTGCGCACCTACTTGGGGGGTTTTCGTGGGAGTTGCATATTGTTAGAGTGTGACATTACGACATGAGACCATCCAAGGCTAGAGAAAGGAAGCTGTGATGACGCACACTCCGTCACCATAGACAGTGGCGGCGCGGAACGGGTCTCGGTGGCTCAGAGACACGGTAAGGCTGTCACGGCTTATTATCACCGGCTCATTGACCTCTTCGACAAGGCCGACACCACCGGTACTGTGGCCATCAGCATTTGGAGCGTCTGCGACTCAGTTTCGGGCTCCTTCACGATGAATACGCCCTCCTCTTCCTTGTCAAAAGCAGAGCCGGCTACATCTATTCATCGTGGCTGCGGGTGGCTTGGCAAAGCAAGGCGACACGGACTCAGTCCCTGCTGTCTTGACGAAGAAACCTGACTTCTTCGGATTGAGGACTGTCTTCGGAATTATCTCATGCCAGGAACGCCTCAACGATCCTGTGGAAATGTCCAGCACTGGAGTTCCCTTCCTTGTTTCCCAGGCTTTCTCTCAAGGTCCAATCCAGGACGCAGGGATTTTGTCAATGCGATGGAAACCCAAGCCTCGTCACCCTGGCCGTATTGAAATTCAGGGTCCATGTCGGCATAATAATCCGATCCACACCCGCATCTTCATTCCAGGCGATCAACACCCTGCGCTCCGGCCCGCCCACCTTAAAATGCATCCGACCTCTCCTGAATACTCGCCGGTGAACGCCCTGCCGCAGCCGGGGCTGCTGGACGGTTTGAGGGCCCTTGCGGTCCTGTTCTATGCTGTGGTAGCTCTGCACCCGCAGCTCCTGCAGCGCATCTAGTCGCTGTCGAGTGTGGGCTGGGACATCCCGGCCCACCTTCGCCGGGGCCCGCCACAACTCCCGGGCCCTGGAGAACCCGCGATGCGGCCAGCTGGAGAATATGATCCACACTCACACAGCACGGGTCGGCGCTGCGACGACCAGGCGCTGGACAACCAACCCCGGCCCGTACCCGGAGAAGTGGCGGCCAAGCCAGTACTTGTCGCCGCCATTCATCATCGCCAAGGCCTTGGTGGCAGTTCTCTGCCACGCCTAACGGCCCCGATGCCATGTAAAAGTCACCGGAGCAGGAAGCAAGATCTACGATGCCTTCATGGCCTCTTTGTCAATTGACCATCTGAGCGAGGAGAGCTTCGCCGCGGTTGAACGTCTTCAACATTTCAAAGGAATCCCGACTTGGTCGGCACCTTCGTGACGAAATCTCAATACCAGGTATGAAGATTACGGCTACGCGTTCCACGAGTCCTATAACCTCGGGCTCAATGATATTAACAGTACCTGCACACTTGACGGCACGGTCCTCTGGAGCTCCAAGATTCTATCGCCGGGGTCTTTCGTCCTTGTTCCCCATCGGAGCAGTTGTTCTCATACGAGGACACTGTCAATGACAGGACTTATGCTGGGCGGTTGGACTTTACTATAATGGCCGGGAAAGCGTCTGGGGAGGGTATCAGAGCAGCGTTTGAAGTGAAGCGTTGGAGCAGAGATGTGCCCAGATCGTCCATGCCAGCTGGACCGATACATGGCTAGTATTCGGAAGAGGTCAGTCACCTCGGTCCATGGGATACTCAACAACGGAGGGAGCTTTCACTTTGTCAAGCTCGAAGAGAATTATACTTTCTATTCTCGGAAGGGGGGAATGGAGCTGAGACCGGTGGCTTCCTTGGGGATGGCATGGGCTCGAGAAAGAGTACACCTGATGGAGCAGGATGTTGCCGAGGTTGTCTTCCATCCTGCTTCTCAGAGCAGAATCCAAGAAAGATCAAGCTATCGTGCGTGCCGCTCCAAAAGCCCGATTCACCAGCCAAAGCTGGGACCTGTGTTGGAAGCGCGAGAATTACTAGCTAAGGCTGGTGGTTTGCCTGAGTGCGCTGGTTCCTTGACGATGACTACATTGCTCTTGGAAAGAGCTGCCAGAAAACGTTTGGATCTGCCTCGGCCAGCCCCGTTAGCAAGGGGCCCTTTCAACCCAGATCTGTTGCATTTAATGCAGATCACTCTTAGCAGATTCTGCACCGAACACGACCTGCAGGATCCGTTCATTTAAGAGTATCGACTTCGCCACGTTGGCTTCCTCAGAGTCTGCCGACGTGATCTACACAATGAATTCACCTCGCCTGAGTTGGTTAAGAAATTCCCTTTCGAAACAAGCTTCCTTCGTCTGGATCTCTGCGAAGACGTCCAAAGCAGATCTAATTTGCCGGTCAATCCTAGCGATGTTGAGCGTCTTCCTATCGACTCAGTCCATGCGATGTGCTACCTGGATGCTTCTGAAAAGAACTACAACGGGCATCCGAGGGCGAGTATCTCTGCCATCCGCACATCTCGCCTACGCACTTACTGCTGGCAATGGCCACCTCGCGATAGTCTGTGCTCTCTCGCTATCCGGCCGACATGTCACTACTTGATCGCTGAGTCTAGCAAGGTCTTTGCTAGTGGCCACAATGAGATGGCTGGTACAAGCAAGCCTATCACAGTGACTCAACCTTAGGCTGAGCACATGATGGCAAAGTCATGATGTGGAAGCATGTTCGAGAATTCGCGGGCGAAGTCTAAGGACAAGATGACTGGGCAAATCCTGTTCCGCGTGAGGATACCATCCTTGGCATCTCTACATCAGTCTTGAATGTACGGCACCGGTTTCACTCCCTGGTGCCAGTCTTACGGCCCCGCGTGGACTAATAGTGCTGTGGACTGGTAGTTCAAAGCCATCGCATGAAGCACAGCGTCCGGACTAGAGCCGGCCAAGCCCGTCTCGGACAACGTGGAAGACCGGCTCACCACACCTTCGACAATATTCGAGTCGGAACCATGACTTAGGACCTTCGATGGGATTCCGCCGGCACATATTCGGCCGCGCTTGATGGTTCTTCAGTTCATCGTCTGTCGCGTACGCACTGTTGATGGCATTTTGGCTGCGTGGCTCAGCTGTTGGGTTTCAGTGACTCGGAGCAGCGGGTCCAGCATACACGAAACATCCAATGACAGATGAGCGATTGCTTGTATCTCGGAGGTTTCTGGCGCCGATACAACGGAGGCCGACGCGCCTTCCAGTGTGATATATGTCATACCAACCACATGTGGTACATTCTCGAGTGTCATCAGTGCACGGTACCGATTCTCGGGCGATTGGATGCGGTTTTGAACTTGTCCTTGATTCAACGGCCGTGAGGACATCTGCAAGCCACTCTTTACTGCTGCTTTCGAGTCCAGCAAGGGGGCACGGGGCCCTGTGTTGTCCTTGTCCTTGAATGGCCCCACACGGTATTCAGGCCACCCTGGCTGGACTATTCTTCTGTCTTCGAGGTGGAAGTACACGCTGCACCTGTTCCAATGGGCGCAAGGCTGGTGTCCGAGGTCCGAGGTTGGCCATCAATAGTTCATGGGTGTCCGTGTGTTGGACCACCAGATCCCTGGCAACCCTGAATGAGATTGCATATACGCCTGGCGCATCGCTTCTTGAGTGACTACTGCCAAACTTATTGAAGACTGGCTTGTGCTGCCTGATCTCTGAAATCATTCTCTTGCGTGGTTACGGTTCAACATGCCCTGGAGCAGTCACACTAGACACTACGACCATGACGGCTCAGAGTCAGCAGTGTGACTGACCCAATCCAATGACCGTGCTCGTCTCTCTGATGAGCAACTGGCCTTTCGGGTCTGTCTGGTGGGATCCTCTGGCAACCACCGACAACTACCGCCAGTGGCCACACCCGGGTAGACACTAAGCTCCCTGTCACGCTACCCTCAACCATTCGCCCTTCCTGGGCCAGCTGCGCGGTTCAACACCACGGAATGAACGGCATCTGAGGTCCTCAAAGCCTCTCTCTTCTTCGGATGGACCTTGCGATTGGAGTGCGCGCACCTTTGCCAAGCCTCGGATTCACGTGGTCATTCAGGCTTGGCTTTATAAATGCTTCGCTACTGGAGTACACTAGTTCGCAGCCCGTCAAACCGCGTGCCGCTGCATCTCCGCTGATAGACCTACTTCACGGGCTGACATTATCGTATACGGCAGGTATGCACTGTTGCACTTCCGAAGATCCGAAACCTACCAGAAAGGCATACTTGGCGACAAACGGGACACTCATGCTATAGAGACCATTCGAAATGGGAAAGGTCCAAGTCACTCCGTCTGTGAACTTGCCATAGCTTCCAAGTCCCAGTGGTGCAGCGTTCCGCACGAGTCTTCTTTCTCTGCACCCGGCCCATGGCTCCTGGCGCTTGACTTCCAGCGCTGATTCAATGCAGCTGTGCTGGTTGCGCGCCGAAGCCATGATGAGTAGGTTCAAGGAGCAGGGGAAATCACTCGCACGGCACAGCAGTATTTCGCACGGGATCGGGCGGTGCAACGTCTCGGACTGCAAGGGCTGGTCCGCATCGGTGCGTGTCTGGGGGAGACCTTTCTCCAATAAGTCGTGAGGTATTAGCGCATAGGCATCTACCTTGACGAGGTGGCCGACGTCCTCTTATCCGCTCCTCACTCATTTGTTTCGATCGCACATCTTGTCCGCAAACAGTCTGCCCGACCAACTATGAAGGCTTTGCTTTCAAACTGCAGGCCATACTGACACGCCCTCGAGGCCAAGCCATCGGCCTCAATGGCATTCGACTTGAAGGACCCATACGTCTCCTTTCCCTCCTCTCACACGAAATAACTCTCTTCGATGCTACGAACCTCCTCTCTCCTACCACGGTCACGACCCGTTCGATCGGGCAGCCACGCCACAATCTCGCTGCCAGGCGTCTTACCTCTCGTTGGGCCTTGAAGAGTAGCCGGGGCTCAGGCACGAGGAACATCGCTGTGCGAATTCCAATGAGGTAACGGAAGTCCGAGCCCTGATACAAAGAGTCTCGGCTCGCGGAGTGTACCATTTCGTGTATCACACATCTCCCCCGTCTGCTATCCGCAGGCTTCGAACAGCGGAGCACGAAGTGTGGGCCTTTGACCGCAACCTCAGTTGCAGGCTCTTGGATGAGATTCTGGAGGTGCCGGCAGTCCCAAGGGCGGTACCTGGACACTGGTTATCGGCGGCCGTCGCCCAATCTATGTGGTTACAGGAGTGCGCGTCGCCAACGCCTATTTCACCGTGTTCATTCGAGAGGATAGCAATGTCTCGGTCCAGGCTTATTGTTTTGTTCGCAGCATCCGCAGGGTTTGACCTGGCGTCAACGGGACGAAGTCTATAGGCAGACGATTTCGGTGTCGACCCCAACTAGAACCCTGCCGTCGTTCCAAAAATCAAACTCAAGCTTTTACTGATTCCGCCTGGCCTTCCATCATTGTTTCGAAGCCGTTTAGGCAGAGACTAAGCTTCACGGAAGATCGGATGATTTCTACGCCAATTTACTATTCAGTCCACGCTCGTGATTCTCTCCTCACCACCACACGCGCGAGACTATATCTGACAAGGCTTCTGAGCAGCCAGTCAAGAATCATGAGGCATCGTCCGACCTGGGACAATCGGCTCCAGAATGTGAATTATGGTTCGGGCGAAGGGGCAGGTGTTGATGGAATCTTGGCAAACACTCTATCTCTCATGAAGTATGTCTTCACTCACGGTATCAGCAAATCACCTCGCACACTGTCTCAGTATTCAGAGCCGCTCTTAACCATGGGCTCTCACCAGGGACCTTCTTACATGTCCGAGTTGCGGATCTGGAAATCTTCAACTTTGAGGAAATCTACCGGATGGAACCCGCGTGCAAGACTGAAACCCCCGGATTTCAGCAACACAGGAGGCTCAATAGTCCTGCCTACAGCTATTGCTGGACTACTAGGCCTGCGTGCTCTTTTCTGTGAGGCTATCCAAGAGAAGCAATCAGTCTCAGAGCCGTGGCCAAGGGCCCCCGGCGCCCAGTGCAGGACGGCCTGTCCTGGCGTTGCTCAAAGTGTGGCGGGATGCACCACGATGAATGCGTGATCTTCCAGCCAGAGTCCGACGCTGATGGCCCTCCGACCAGATTTAGCTGCACGAAATGCAGAATCTCGGGTATCTGCGCAGCGGGCACGCCAATTGCTGTATTGCATGGAGTTGACTCTCGGGGAAGAAGGCAGTCTCTACCTTCACCCGACTCATGATGGACTTCAGACTGGGCGGTGCATTCAGAGCTGGGGCTTGCTCAATGCGTTTTTCATGGTGGTGTACTGTACCCAGACGCTTGAATACAGTATCCCCTTGAGCAAGTCACTGTGTTGTGCCACTTCCTCGATCGTCGTTGGGAAGGTTTGTCGCATTCATCACATTCAAGGATTATGTGCACACAGCGCGGAGTAATGGTGGAGCAAGGGCGGTGTCCAGTGCGTACAGATACCACTAACCTTTCGCATCAGGGGTCTCGTCGGGCGAGGCTCGAGACATGGTGCTATTCTGAGGCAACCGGGACCCCGAGGAGGAACCGAGCCTGGCAATCGTCCTGGTCATTCACGATGCCAATGCCCGATGACTCCTCTACAGTGTAAGGAGCGAGGCAGCAACCTTCCGACCCCTTAATACCATCTCACGGGTTGACTGCGCGATGCAGTTGTGGTGATACGTGGAGACCGCGCTCTCATTCCTCAGGAACCGGATCTCAGTACTTCCCGATAGCCAAGGTTCCTGGAGATGTAACTGGCGAGGGGATCAGAGCGCGGAAGTGCATGGTCTGAGCTCCGAAGCTTCATGGAGACCATGAAGCCCAACACCTTCTTCCTCTACAAGACTCTCGTCTACAAAGACGGCATCATCTGGGTATATGCTTTCCCCCGCTGTACGCGCAATATGCCACCTGAACAGCGCAGGACAGCAGGAACAGGCACTGGCGGGTGGATGGTCGTGGCCGCAGGTGGACAGTCTGATAGGCCGCCACCCGGACATGTTCTGTAGCCACTTGTCTCTCTGCCTTACTCGCAGTCTGACTTTTCTACAACGCGGCACAGCAGGAAAATGCCCTGCTGGATGGATGGTCCTGACCGGAATGGAAAGCCAGGCTGTTATACAGCCACTACCTCAGCCGGCACGGGCGTGACGACTCTCCGACTGCCTACACCTTCCGAGCCAGTGACCCCCAGGTACCTGGACACTTGCCCCATCGTGGTGGACCAATGCGCAGTTTACACCCCGTCATCACCTCCGGCCTCGACAGCCTGGTCCTTGTCCCGAAATGCGGCGAAGAACCGGAGATGCAACCATCCCTCCCCCCCTTTTTCACTGTCGCTCTGTCATTTGCGCCAGCTCGCGGCCAAGTGCAAAAGCCTTCCTTCCTGCAGGGGAATCTACACCCTCCGCGTGCTGCTCAGCCTCCTTCGTCCCGTTCTGGAAGCAAGGAGAGCCGAATCGGATAGACAGGCTCCTTGACGGCCCGTCATTTGGCCAGCCATAGCTGCACCAGGCGCTCATGGCGCTATGTATGTACATAACTCAGAGTTAAGGCCCTGCGGGCCTTCCCCATCCTTCTTTGCCTCCATGAATGGACTTCTAGCATGGTCAAGATCATCACTGCTAGTGCCCAACACGGATCTCACCCTGGCGGTCAGAAACTACATTCATTATCTCTGTGTCTGCCCGATCGCCTGCGATATCCCGGCAAAGACGGTCTTACATACCTTGGCAGTATGACCGATACGTAGGGAGGGATCCTTCGGGGCGAAAGTTGCCATAGCGCGGGAGATTATGGTGGGCGAGCAGCTGGACTTCGACATCCCCCTGATGCAGCTTGATACCATTTTTCGCAGCCTCCCTTCCCGGGCAAATATGTCCAGCACGTTTACAAGGCAACCGGTTGCGTGATCACGGCCTCCAGCTCGATATCGACAGTTGCGCTACTCGCCTTTGTGGCCCTTCGCAGAACGCTTTATCGTTCCTCTGATCGCAGCGGAGAAGATGTCCGATGGGTGTCTGGGGGAGACTCGACCACCACAGCTTATATGAACCTTGGTACTCATTGGACCACTCGCGCGAGTCAAAGGGGACGCAGGCTGTAATCTTTCCAGACATACAAGCGAGATACGATGAGCAAAAGTATGGAGAGACAGCAACCCCAGACGAAGATACCGAGAGGACCACACCGCCGGAACACCATGCAGAAATCGTCAATCATCTGCAGAAGGCATAGCCCATCGCCACACTTATCACATACATCCTGACAAGTGATCTTTTCTTCAAATAGTCTGCGGACATGCTGGTGAATCTGAGCTGTCAGGTTAGTATATCGGGCGCTATCTCACTGGCGTGATCGGCTGGATAAAGCTTTGCCTCGGAGGGAGTATTTCGTCATGCTCAGCGGCAACTCCCAACAACTATCTCGAATGTTTCAATGGATATCCCTACTTTCAATAATACAGAAGCTACTGATCGACAACTAGGTACCCGGGTCGAGGGTTACTGGGAAGGACAGTCTGCTGAGTGATCATCAACCAAGTCCAGTTGTACCGGCAACGGAAGGCCAATGTCACAGCTGGTCGAGCTCTTTATAAAACTTAACCACTGTTCATCCAGTTTTGAATCCTCCTCCGGTTACGAAGAAGAAGAAGGAGATTCCGAGTGGACGGGAGGATGATGCATCCTTTGACGAAGCAGAGGAGTGCTGTCCTAGCGCTTCGGAACGCTTCGGTGATGATAATAATGATCCCGAGAGCGCCGGCGACAGCGAGGACTGAGAGAATTCCATTATTTGCAGTGACGACGATGTTGTGCCGCTCACTGTTAACGACGACTCCGTGCAACACGCCTCGCTTGGCTCCTGCAGGATGCGATGAAGTCAAATCCCAAGCTGGCAATGTAAGCTTCCTTCTTCACCTAGCCTATTCACTTTCTAAGTTGTTCTATAAGATCATCACCGATATCGACACGTAATGTGGGCTGGCTTGCGGGATCTCTGGTTCAGTGCTATCGAGAACTCTGGCCCGACGAGAGCCTGGACGAGGACACCCTGGTCTTTGGGATGGCTCAATCCTACGATGACACCTATCCGGAGGAGCCGGTCTTTACCTTCGACTTGAAGTTTACAGCGAGAGCTTGGACCAATGGAATCGGTGGTGGGTGCCTTATAACAAGGAGCCCCTGTTTCCACCTAGCCTCGCCGGAGACCTTGGCGGGGCTGCACTGAGCTTCGATGGTTACATCCCCCATTGAACCAGACAAGCTTCTTGGATCGTCGACCACCGCCTGGGGGGAGCTAATCCTCCGCCGCGCATCGTCTGCGTTAGGTCGATTGGCTGATTCCAATACCTCGGGATGCACTTGCACTTGTGGTGGACAGCTCGGCGCTCAGCACACTCGACAGAAGATATCGCAGAGACCACAGTGCAGACCTTCATGAGTGGGTCAAGTGCTGGGATTTCTGCGCGGTGATGAAGGCGAATCGGTGTGTCATAATGGTGCACCCGGTCAGCTAGCAGAGGGGATCCTCAAGAACATCAACGCTGTCTTCGAGGCATCTGGTCACCCGTGGATCAAGGCGATTAAACTCGTTTGGCAAGCTCAAAGTCCCTTGCTATGTGCGCGGCGAGTGGTGCAGCATCATGAAACGTGCGGCTGATGGAGCGAACCATCATAGGCATCATCAGCAGCAGCAGGCGGAGGAGCATGAGTCGCCCTTAAGCAGTGTACGTAACAGGAACGATCTTCGTTGGCGCCTCACTAATTTGTCGTCATACGACAGACTCCAGACTTGAAATCCGTTTCAGAATGCGCCTCCTGTTAGGCAAGAAAACAGCGGGCCTTTCGCAGAATCTCACCTTGCCATCCAATACTATCACAAAAGCTTAAAGAGAAAAAAAAGACGAAAAGGATCAAAGGGGAGTCCAACGCAGAGATTGAGAAGGTCGAGCAGTGGGCTTCTGATACTGCGCTGAACGCTCCCTTCCCTCGGTCAACCTCTCTAGCCTGCCTTTTACACGGCCCTCAGCTATTACCGTCCACCCGACGGCCAATTACCGTGCAAATTCTGGTATTCAGCATATGCTACCGAAACGACGAAGACATCAGAAAGCGGTGTCTCGTCTTGTATTGAAGAAACCCTTGATAGGGGCCTGCTCTTAGTCGAATGATTTGCCGCGGTAACTTGTGTGGTCTACTTCTCCGCCTGTCATGTTCTATCGCAACCGACCAGAGGTAGAGCATTCAGGAAAGAGCTGCATTTTTCTGCTTGTTCAAAGTTTGGAAAACCTACCTGTGAAATTCTGGATACAAGCCCTCGACGGGAATGTCAGTCAGATTTGAGTGGTGTCGATGACGACTTTGGTGCGGCCACGTGCCGGTAATGGCCACATTGAGATAGCCCGTGATCTCCCACGATCCGACCGGCACATCGATACGGTCATCCTGAGATGGGGGCGAACAGCTCTGCAGTACGCTACCTACTGTGGCACCGAGGCGAGGGTCAGGTTTCTGCTTGAGCACGGCGCTCTCGTATGCCGTGATGACCCATGGAGATGAGGCAGTCGAAGCCCTCCTGGAGCATGGAGCCGACATCAATGCAGGGGTCGAAACGCCATTGTCGCTGAGCATTAGCTCGTGTGATTGGAAGATTGTGGCTTGCTTACTCGCTCATGGAGCGAGCCCTGATGCGAGAACCTACGATGGTAAAGAGACAGCACTCACGCTTGCGATCAATCGATCTTACAATCTGCCCGGTCATCAACTGCTTGGGCGGGACGCCGGGGGGGCGCTCAGCTTCAGCCCCTAATCATTGCGGCGCCGGCTGCCCCAGGAAGTAACGCTCCACGGGAGCATTGCGTGGCCCCCATTGACGATATGTCTGTTCCGGGAGGCGAGGCCATGGGCCGCCGGTATTGAGCTCCTGATCTGAACCCACTCTTCTTTCACCTGAGGCACGCCGTTTCCGAAGGAATAGCGACTCGAATGCCATCACTACCTCGCTCTTGCGGGCTTCACTGCAGCGAGGATCATGGAAACTCGGGGCGAGCTTCGATTGCATCCTCCAAGCGGGGGGTTCTTCGCCTCCTTGCAGTCAGCCGGCTCTTACTGCCCTCAGATGAACTTAGCTAGCTTAGCTAGTTCGCCTGCGTCCTATCACTTAGTCCTCCGTGGCACTTTGTATTACATATGCCAGAGCGAAGGCCCTTCGCGCCTTCCTCTTCCAGCTTTGCCCCATGAACGGAATTCTTGGCTGGTTTGATCTTTGTCTTGTTCATTCTTACAGTTCACACCGAGGTCGAGTGTGAACTGGAGGCTCGCGGCAGAGGATGCTAGGGAACTGAGAAGCGGTGATCGAACCAAGCGGGCACGAATGGCTCTGGTGGCCACAGTTCACCAGGACACTGTACGCTTCCCTTGAAGTTGCATACGCAGACCAGATAAGGCTGCCTGGCATGTCTTGTTTGGCTAGCTGAGGCAAGGATGACGAGATTGAATCTGGCCGGGCTTCGCATGGAGCTTACCCCGAGCGCCGATTGCAAGGCTTGACTGCCGCAGCGGACAATCTCAATGCGCAGGAGCCTTTGATCCTCTTAGCCTTCTTAAGCCGACATGTCTCTCACAAGAAACGACAGGGAGGAAAGTGTTGACAGCGCTGCGGCCTCGGTAGGCCAGCCTGCCGCGCACTGCCCATGCCGGTGGCTCTTCGCTGGTTCCTCAGACAGCCTCACGTAGTCTGGTTTCCTCCATCATCCACGTTCTTCCCCACGTGTCGACAGGAAGATCATCAAAATGCTCATGGCCCACGGCTTTCCAGAGTTGTGCGTGACCGTCCTCTCCGAGACGCGCCTGAATGTCTTTCGGTGTGTGGAATCATCTTAGTCGGGCTGCGATCAACTGTCGTGGAACTATGATGGGAACGAACCTTGCAGCAATGGGCTGGCAGGAAGCAGTGTGCTTATTGTTGATCGCTTGTTGGTGTGGAGTTCAGAAGTCGGCGACTTGCTGGTCGCAACTTGGGGAGTTGAACCGATGTTTTTCTCTATATAATTCTTTTTTATAGAAACTAGGGCATTAGTAGCATATAGCTTATACTACTAAATTAAATATATCCTTACCATATTTACAACAAGTGCATGGTCTCGAAGATGCGGGGATGCAGATCTCAACCCACCAAGTTGTCCACGGTCAATACCGCACCTGCTCTCTCCAAGCCCCCGGTCAGCTGACGAGCCTGCCAACCGTGCGAGGCTTCACAGGAATTGGAGGTGCAACAGCCACACAACCAAGCCACTGTGCTCACTCCTGAGATAGTCCTCAAGATACATAGCGTTTAAGCATAATCCTGAGAATTCAAATCAAGATAACCATCCGTAGGCCATCAAATTTCAGCTCCCTATCCACAAACTCCAGGCGGAGTAAGCCACCTCCACCAAACCACATCCCAGCGATCCCAAAAATCCAAATAAACTCATCTAAACCCCTTTACCATCACTAGTAAATACCCAAGACACCCAAACTACCGCGTGGTGCAGCAAAACCAAGGCAAAAAGCGTAACGAGACCAATCATATAGGCCCGGCAAGTGCTGTCTCTCGCAACAAACACCCCGTATGGTCTAGATGGAGACGACGGTTGTGGGTCACCTAACGGTTTCCTGCTTCAGACCTGGGTTCGAACCCCAGTACGGGGGGAATTTCTTTTTTGTTCTTGCTGGGGGGTGGGGGGTGTCATTGGGATGTCATTGATTGTTTTGCGTGGTGTTGATGAAGGGGTGGGTGCGGTAGGGCGTCATCGAAGATGGGGGTCGAGGATATTGAAGGGCGGGCACGCGGACCGCTATATGGTGGATCTGATTTTTCGGGCACTACTGCCAGTGTTAGGGAGAAGGGACTGGGGGATAAATATTCCACGTGATTCATGGGATGTTGCAGCCCAGGGACTGTGGGGGCGGGAGAAGGGGTACTGTAACTGATGAAGCTGGGGAATCTGTATTGTGAGCAGGTTGATCGGGTAGTCTAGTTATTGATTACTCGTGACCGCCTGCTAAGGTTATGCGATGTTCTTAAAGCACTTAGTGTCGGTTCTTTCTGTTTCTAAAATGCAGAAAAGTCATAGTCTGGGGCGGGACTTCATTCCTAAGATTCAGCTGTGGAGGAAATTCACATCCCCCACTTGAACTCATAGGACTTTAGCTACAGTTCCGCTGGCAGCAGTGCAGCACAAGACAGTATCTTGAGGTGCCCTTTCGAATCTAGCTTTACACAGCGTGGGTTCCAGCTTCGGAAAAAGCTCCAACCAGCTATCTAACATGATCCTTTCTCTGCTGCCGGAGCAACTCGGACTTGTCTCGGCTTTACCAGCAAGCTCGGCCCTCGTGGATCCCGAGGCCGACTCTATCCCCGCATCTCGGTGTATACCTCGGAGACAGCGGTTTCAATCTGATAAGATCAATTTCACGAAGAGAAGAGATCAAAGATCGCAAGTATATAAGACCAGTTCTTCACGTTCTTCAACCCATCAGAGACCAAGCTTCACCATCCCACCATTCCCCAGAACCCCCATCAATACAAACAATGACCACCGAACCCCCCACCATCTGGCACGGCGTGCGTACGCCCCGCTCCCTCCAACCCCCATCACCAGAAACTAACTCCCAAAGGACGGCCGCGAACAAGCCCTCCAAGCCCACATCCTCCAGCACCCGAACGCCGCCGACCTCCGCAACCACCCGGCCGCCATCCTGACCGAAATCGACCAGTGGGCCACCGCCCACAACCACTGCATGATGACCATCGGCCCCGAGCGCAGCCAGCCCATCGTCGCGCTCATCCGCTCCTCCTCCCCGAGCGTCATGGTCGAGCTCGGCGGCTACATCGGCTACTCCGCCATCCAGTTCGCCGCCGAGCTGCGCCGCGCCACCCCCGCCGGTACCCATGCACCGCGGTACTACAGCCTCGAGTGCAACGCCGCATACGCGGCGGTAGCACAGTCACTCATCGAGTTCGCGGGGCTGGGGGATGTGGTGCGGGTGCTTGTGGGCGAGGCGGCGGACTCGTTGGCCCAGGTGGCGCGGGAGCTGGAGGCAGAAGACGCGGCCGTGGATCTGCTGTTTGTGGACCACTGGGGCGACCGGTATCTGCCGGATTTGCTGGTCGCGGAGCGGCTGGGGCTGCTGCGGGAGGGCGCGCTTGTGGTGGCGGATAATGTCGGGATGGAAGGGGCAACGGCGTATGCGCGGTGGATGGAGGAGGGGGTGCATGAGGTGGAGGGACGCGTGCTGCGGTATGAGAGTCGCACGTTGCCGTATACTTTGGTGAACGGGCAGGAGGTTGGTTGTCTTGATTCTGTCCAGGATGCTGTTATGATTAGCAAGAAGATTTGAGGTGAGGGGTGTTTGGAATAGCTTTGGTGATGGTTGCGTGGGGATGAAGGGGAGATATATTCTCCTGATGGACCGGTTGGACTTTCCCGCGGTGAGGACGGCTTTTGATCACGCTGTTCGAGCTATTCTTGCGATCGACACCTGCCGTTGTGTCGTTGTGTTTTCTAGTATGATATTCTGTGGCGCGTTCATCTCTGTTGCACGGGGTAATGGATATGAATGGAAAGCGTTGTGCCTGCAAGGAAAGTCAGTCGTTGAAATTATGCGTGCATAAGCTGGAGCATCATGTTTGCATTGTTTGCCTGAAGTCACCGCGGCGTTATCTGTCCGCTGCTCCACCCTTGTATGTGGGGAAGACTTGGGGTGACAATCTCAATATTTCTTGCATTGATTATTATTGTTCTAGGATTGATGCGGTCATTCACCAACTGGACAACATGGCGATATACAAGACTGTATGTTGGCGACGATTCATGCACACCGTAGTATACTAGGTCTTGGCACGGAAGCGGGCCGAGCGGCGGCGTGATGATACTAGATAAATAGTTACTGTCAATGGAATGAGATGAGATGGTAGGTAACAGCATGATGTCATACAAAAAGGTCTTCGTTCTTGGACTTGAACTCACCGGTAGGTCTTCCGGACATACTGCAGCAAGAGAATCCCAAATGCATGCAGCACACTGCAGCCCTGAGTCAGGTGAGGACCTCTCAATCCGGTAACAACTATGAGAGCCAGCCCTAAGCCAGGTCGGGAGGTGACAGTGAGAGCTGAGCTGAGCTGCAGAGCTCCAGCTCGTACTACTTCCTCTCTTGGCCAACTTTCCGCTGCTACCACTGCTAAAATCATACCATGCAACACTGTCACGTATAAATGAAGCTCGCTAACCCTGGCTCTCAACCCAACCACATTTCCCAATCCCCACACTCCCATCTTTACTGGTAAACCCCCATAATGTACGACGTGATTATCATCGGCGCCGGCTTCAGCGGCCTCCAAGCGGCCTACTCCGCCCAGCAAGCCGGGCTCTCAACGCTCGTCCTCGAAGCCCGCGACCGCGTCGGCGGCAAGGTCTGGAGCGTGCCGCTGGCCTCCGGCCGGGGGTGCGTCGAGCTCGGCGCCGCCTGGATCAACGACACCCTGCAGCCGCGGGTGTGGGCGTATGCGCAGCGGTTTGGGATGAAGGTTGTCCAGCAGCGGCTGGCGGGCCAGGCGGTGATGGAGCCGAGCGGGGAGGAGCGGTTTCTCTTTCCGTTCGGCGTGACGCCGGAGGTGAGGTGCCCAGCCTCGGGGGTGAATGGAATGCTGACAAGCTGGTCAAACAGTTCAGCGAAGAAGAGAAGAAGAGCCTGGAGCATGTCCGCGACCACATCCAGGCCGAATCGCTCAAACCGGGGCCCGTCTCCGCCGAGGACGATCGCATCACTTTGGAGGAGTACGTGCGCAACCTCGGGGCTCTGCCCAAAGTCATCCAGATGGTGAACCTGTGGGCGCAGGTGATGCACGGGGTCGAGGCCAGCGAGGAGTCGGCGGGGTGGTTCATCGACTACTGTCGTCGCAACCGGGGGTTGTTGGTTGTGCGGGCGGACGATGCGTCGGGGGGACAGTATTTACGCTTTCAGGATGGTGAGCCTGTCCTTCAAAGCCCCTTATCAGATCAATTACCCGATTCTACATTTTCCGTTGGGAGGTCCCCCACTGACCTCCGCTCTCCGGAATCCGCAAAGGCGCCCAAACCATCGCCACCCGGCTCGCAGCCCTAATCGGCCACCAAAACATCCACCTCGCGACCCCCGTCCACGCCATCCACGACCACTCCGCCCACGTCACCGTCACCACCTCCACCACCAAATCCTACACAGCCCGCAAGCTCATCCTCTCCCTCCCCAGCACCATGTACAAGGAACTCACCATCACGCCTCCGTTACCCCCGGCCGTCCGCGCCGTCACGGACGCCACGGTGCTCGGCGACTACAACAAGGCCATCATCTGTTACGACACCCCCTGGTGGCGGGCCCAGCACTTCAACGGGTATTTCGCCAGCTACGCGGGGCCCGTCATCTTGGCGCGGGACACCTCCGTCGACGCGAAGCGGCACTTCTCGCTGACGTGCTTTGTGAACGGGGCCCCGGGGAGGGCGTGGAGCCGGCTGCTGCCGCACGAGCGGCGGGCGGCGGTGCTGAAGCAGCTGGCCCGGGTCTTTGGGCAGGATGAATCGTCCGAGGTGTGGCGGCCGATCGAGATGTTCGATCAGATCTGGCAGCATGAGCGGTATAGTCGGGGCGCGTTGGCGCCGATCACGGCGCTGGGGCATTTGACGCAGTACGAAGAGGTGTATGGGAGGGCGGTGGGGAATGTGCATTTCGTGGGGACGGAGTATAGTGCGGTCTGGAAGGGGTATATGGAGGGGGCGTTGTGGTCTGGGGAGAAGGGGGCGGAGGAGGTGGTTCGGGCGCTGGGGGGGAGGGGGAGGGCGGTGTTGTAGTTTTTTCGTCTCTTTTGTGTTTAGGTGGTTTGGTGATTATAGATTCTGGCGTCTTCAGCTTTCACAATTGCAGTATTGGGGAATACTATAGTAAGGCTCCATGCGTCTTCTGCCTATTCTATGTATCGTCCATCCAATCCAAACTTATCTAGTATATCTCCAACGCCCTTCCATCCCCATCATACTATAACTTAGAGTTCTCAACACGAATTCAACCCTCATACTCAATTCATCTGACATGGTCGAGTTGCCATACTCAAAAGTAGTTTACTCCAATGCATTGATTCATCACCAAACAATCCCCCCCCCCCCCCGTCCACCCCCTTCTACCTTCCATGGGAGGGAATCCCATCCCCAACCCCCAAAAAGGGAACTTTTTCCCCGTTCAGGTCCTCAAACCCCCGGGTCTCGGACTGCACCTAACCCCACAGTGTTTCTCTGCTCCCATCCCGGAGACATGGGAAACTAACCTTGAAACTCTCAGTAGAAGCATTAGTGGGCGTGATGGGTAGCGCAGCGTTTCCTCTGGTTCGGGTTGACAAGCTGCAGGCCGCTGCAGCTGCAGCTTGAGTTGGTCTTGGTGCTTCACTTGCAGAGGAGGGATGTACTATGTACAGTACGGTCAAAAGTCTGCTGATCCTCGGGACCAGACTAGGGCGGGGCGGGTTGGATTGCCTGATCGGGTAAAGAATGCGCTGCCGGGGGCTCGCTGGGGTGGATTCTGGAGATAGGGGGGGGTGGGTGTTAATGCTGAGTAGGCGGGTTCCGATCTAGGTTTGAGGTGAGGGGTAATCAGGTGCATGTGGAAAGATAGGTTAGAGGTACCATAGGATGGAGGGGAGATAAGTGCTTTCAGGAGGGTGTTCATTCACTTCATCTATGGTTATGTTTTGTGGGATGGGGTGCGACGGGATCGGCCTCAACACCTGAGGGGGAGCTTGTAGACACAGAACCATCATAGAAGTCAGTACAATACGGTCTATCGCAGTGACTCTACTCGATGTTCATTCATCATATATCAGCACCACCGATGTCACAATCTATACCCACTACCCCATAGCACCCACCACTACCATCCTGCACATCACAAACCAACCAAGCTCACCTAATCATCCCCACTATACTCCCACGCAAACTAAATCCTATCCCATAATAGTCTCCAACCGCCTCTCCATCATAACATCCAACCAAAACGCCTCCTGCTCCCCCCCGCCATCCGCCCGCCTCCACACCTCCCGCACCAAATCCCCCACCCGCTCCAGCGGCGGCCGCGGTAGAATCCTGGTGAGATCCGCTAGCCGCGCGCTCACGTGCCGCCGCGCCTGCGCGACCTCCACGTCCACGGCGTCGAACGGCGCCCACGCGTCCGCCGCCACCCCCAGCGGCGTTCCTCTCGAAAACACCAGACTGCCCGCCGTCGCGGCCAGGAGGACGGGTTGCATGACCCTCGTCCCGGAGGTGACGGGGAGGGATTCTAGTAAGGCGATGATGTGGAGGGCGAGGTGGCGTCGGAATTGTCGGGGGGGTAGGGTGGGGGCTGTTGGGAAGGGGAGGGGGGGTGCATTTGTGTTTGTTTCTGGGTGGTCGTGGTTGTGATGTTGCTGGGTTTGAAGCCTCGAGACTAGGATGGCGGGAAAGGCGTGGTAGATCTGCAGCAGGGCAACGCAGCGGTAGGCGTCGGCGAGGATGGTGAAGTGGTTTGCTGGAGTGTTGGTGTCGCCTGTCGGGAGGTGGTGGCCTATGCCGTCGACGTCGAAGGTGAGGAGCTCGGTTTCGAGGGTTTGAGCTTTCTCGTGGGGAGAATTTGGGTGGGTAGTGGTGGCGTAGGGGAGATGGGGGCTTGGTTGCTGGGGGATGGGGGATGTGGTCATGGTGAGGAGTGTCGCGTGGCGTGCAGAGCGGATGAGGCGCGCGATCTGATAGAAATACTGCAGGGCAGTGGGCAGTGGTCCTGTCCATGGGTGCAGGAGGGTTTGGCCGTTGACCACGTAGATCGGTAGATGGTGGTCGCTGTCGCTGTCGCTGTCGGTAACTCCGACATCCGAGATATCCTGCGCGACGAACGCGGCTAGCATGTTCCAGTAGAGGAGACACTGCTTGAAGAATGGGTACTGCTGGGCGAGGGCCTCCGGATCCGAGCTCGGGGTTGGAGATGTGTTTCTCTCGCGGCGACTCTGCCGCACGAGGAACCGCCGCGCGGCCTGGAGATAGGGCAACCCCAGGTCCGCCCCGTTGTGCCACGCGGTAGTCGACCCGACCATCAACAACCCATAGAACAGACTCTCGTCGTTCAGCGTCGGTGACAGCGCCATCGCCTCCTGCAGGGCGTGGATGGCCCGCCGCTGCATCTGGGCGCCCACGGCGCGCATTCCGGGGAAGTCGCCGGCCAGCGAGGCGGCGGCCATGCTCTGGATGGCGTAGTAGATGGGGGCGTTCTGGCTCCAGAGGCGCGCGATGTTAGTGCGGAAGGGGTTGAGGTCCGAGTCGAACGACGACCACATGGCGCAGACGTAGTCGAAGTAGTATTCCACCAGCAGGGCGGGGAGATGCACCAGGAATGAGGGTACTGAAGTCTCTGTGAGTCGTCGCCGGAGACTCTCCAGGTTGTCTATCTGGGGTTGAATGCGGGCAGACGGCAGCCCCGGTATAGCGAGTGCCTCGTGCAGCGCCAGAGGAGTTGGTGCTGGGAGGGGGTCAGCCAGACCACCACCATCCACATCTTCCAATCCCGCCAGAAGCCCAATATCCAAATCAATGGGATCCTCCTGAGCATCACCTCTTTCATCTCTCTCCAACTCTCTAGTCAACGAAAGTCTCTCGCCCTGCACCCCAGAGACGGGCACCTCCACCGCTCCCTCCCCAGAGACCCCAAACCTACCCCCAGCCACAGGCGAAGCCATAGCCACGGGGAAAGTCACAGCCCCATCGCCCCTCTCAATCTCCCCAGCAACCCCCTTCCTCCTCTTTCTCCCCTCCACCCCCCACCGAATAAACGGCCGAGTATACCCCGGACACGTCTGCTTCCGTCGCTGACACTCATAACACCCAGGCTTGCGCTCATCGCATCGTCGCTGTATCCCCCCTCAGCATCAGTTTCCGTTCCCCATGCACCCTGTGAGGCAAAGAAAGCGAGAACGCACCCGTCGCTTCTTACAGCTTTCACATCCCGTGCGGGACTTCGGAGCTTGGCGTTTATTCTTCCCTTTTGGGGGGGGTGGTATTTGCGTGGGCCAAATTGGTGGCGCGGCTGGGTTTGAGTCTTCCATTTGCGTATTCCGTTTAGATGTGATTGTTCGGGGAGGTTTAGGGGCGGGTGGCAAAGGGAAGGAAGGGGTGTTTTCTCATGTTAAGACATATGGGGAAAGAAATCCCCCTCCCCTGTTTATGTGTGATAGCAGTAGTTAACTTACTAGTCACTCGTCACTAGTCTGTTAGCCTAGATAAGGCGTGAGGCGTGAGGGGGAAGTGTTATCATACATTTCTTGCTTTTGGGTGGATGTGCTATCGCTATTTACTCCCAACAAGGAAACTAAAAATAAGCGGGCGATTTACCCCGCATTTCCAGCTGCACTGACTGCACTTTGACAAACAAAGCCTTCGGCTGGATTTTCATTCCTGATTCGTATCACACTCACTTCTTTTGTCTTGCAGACCAAAGCCCCCGCAAAGGCTGCATCACCTCCTCCCAGAATCCCACCGCCGGCTGCGTGAGCTCCAACTCCGCCTCGTACGCCGTAATGGCCGGCGCCTCCCAGACCAGATCCACCTCCTGCGGCCGGACAAATTTCGTCTGCTTTAATAGCTTCCACCCCAGGAACAGCGCGGGCGCCACGATCACCATCGTGTAGTACGTGACAAAGTCCGCCGCGCTCCAGGGCATGAAGCTGCTGTACCCGTAGCACGTCACCACGCACACCATCCAGACCAGGCCGATGTAGGCGCTCCAGGGCTGGAACCACCCCCGATACGGCAGCTGGGCGCGGTCGAAGCTTTGGGCCTGACACGCGCGGTAGAAGCAGATGTACGTGGTGGTCATGACGATATAGTTGATCACGCCGGCGGAGGTGGTCAGGTTGATGATCCAGCTGAGGACGGTGGCGGTGTTGTTGGAGAGCTGCAGGAAGGACAGGAAGGGGAACAGCATAACAAGGCCGAAGCAGTAGATGGGGACGCCGTGGCGCGTGCAGCGCCGGAAGATGCGCGGGGCGCGGCCCTCGACGGCCAGCCCGTGCAGCACCCGCGTCGCCGTGTAGGTGTAGGTGTTGCCCGCCGAGAAGATGCTGGTCACTAGCAGCGCGTTGACGATGTGCGGCAGCACGCTGACCCCCAGGTTGCCCATCGCGATCACGTAGGGAGACGCCGACGCCGACCCCGCCCCCGCCGACGCCCCCGTCGTGATCGCCACCAGGCTCGCGTCGTTGTACGCCACCACCACCCCGACACAGAGCGCGCTCCCAATGAAGAACACTCCGAATCGCCAGTACACCGTCTGGAACGCGTTCTTGATGTACCGCCGCGGGTGCTTGCTCTCCGCCGCCACCATCGAGATGTACTCCGGCCCCACGCACGCGAACGACGCCGCCCACAGCGCCGCCAGGAACCCTTCGAACCGGCCCAGCGCCCCCGTCGCAAGATGCGTCGCGAACGCGCCGGGCGTGTTCCAGTACCGGAATCCGTAGGCATCGCCCTGCGGGTTGCCGCCCACCATCGTGATGAAGGTGAACAGAAACAAGACAAAGAATAGTATCACCTTGCCGCCGGAGAGCCAGAATTCGGCCTCTCCGTAGGCGCGGACTGCGAGGACGTTAAGGGATCTGATGAGATATGAGCAAGATAAATCGTATTTGGGCTTCGAATTCCTAATCGATGTCGCGTGTGGGAAGCGACTTACGCATATAGTACAATGCACGCCACGCAGATGGCCGCTGTGGGAATGCGATCGCTCCAGAAGGCCAGCACCTCGGTCAAGGCCGTGATCTCGAAGGGGATTAGTAGTGCTTCGTAGAAGAAGAAATTCCACCCGGCCATGAACCCGAAGGCGTCGTCCACCCACCGGCCCGCCAGACGGATGAAACCTCCGCCAACGGGCATGTACGTGGACATCTCGGCGATGCAGTTGTTCACCAGCGACAGCATGCAGCTGTAGATAATGTACGCGATCAGCAGACTGGCCGGGCCGGATTTGGTGAGGGCTGTGCCGATGCTGACGAACACCGCAGTCCCAATCGAGCCGCCAATCGCAATCAGCTGGATCTGGCGGTTATCCAGGCGACGCTGCAATCCATGGGCATCGGGTGGGATAATGGATCCGGGTTCAATGTCGGAACCGGCAGCATACACGTCGCTTTGGGCGGCCGATTTGCCTTTTTCTTCGTCTACAGGACGATGCTGCGTGGGGGGTGTCATGGTTGGCGGGGAGGGTTGAAAATGACAGGTCGGGGGATCCGTGCAGGTACGTATTGTATGGGGTATACAAACCCCTTTATAGCGTTAGCTTATCTCTACCCGGCCGGGGAATTCAATTTCAATCTGTCATGAATCGCAACGAAACACCAAAGCGAGCAATCTCTTCCAGGCTGATCCCGGTGTGCATTGTCATGTACTCCGTACCCGGCATGGAATAAGCATATCGGCCTTGCGCCTGAGTTCATTGGCCATTGATCGACTTCTGCCAATGTGTTTGCCACACTGTGCGCTCGCAGCATCGTTCGTGAGACTTATCGAGGCCTCTTATCAGACCGAGAGCAGACTAAGATACCGAGTAAGCAGACATCATTGGCCCCTCACGTAGTGCGAGATAAGGGCGCGTCACTTACGCCCAGTATTGGTCCTTGTTCATGTAGCATGTCGTCACTGGCGAAGAATTGGCAAAGGAGACAGGGGCGCAGTTGTCAGGGCCTTGCAGAGATTTCAGTCGTGAAAACACGATGTTCGGCTGGAGGCAAGCCCTGCGGATGTATCTTATACTCATTAGCCAGTCGGACAGAGATCGGATGATCGATTACTCATACGTCGCGAGCTCTCCCCTGATTCGAGCGAGGATGGTTTGCCTCCTAAGGCATTCATGATGGAGCCCCGGGTTCCTATCCTTTTTCGGTACTCCCACGCGCCGTCTGGTTAAGGGTGTGTGTCTAGTTGAACATTATGCCTCCCACTTGAACCACAGCGGATTATTGAACGTTTGTGGGAGACCTTCCACGTAGTGGTGGGATGGACTGGTGAACACAGGATGGTGATGCTGGTATAAAGGCCTCTTCAATCATGGACCATCGACATCATCAAACATAGACCCATCTCCACTCTCATCCCCAAAAAGATTCAAACACCAGCAACCAAAATGGCCGCCGCCGCTGTGCCAGCTCCCATTGCCATCCAGGCTCCCGTCGCGCCACCCACCGTGATCGCCTCAACCACATTGCGCGCCACACGACCCACCAAACAGATCCCCGAGTCCATCATCCAGCGAGCCCGCGCCGTCGAAAAAGTGGACTTCGACGCCACCAAGCATCTGGCAACTGCCACGCCCAGGAAGGTCTTCATGATGAAGGACCTCGGCTTCGAAGGCGCGGGTATTTCGCCGACTGCGCTCTCCGAACCCTTCCCCCTCTTCACACCAGAAGCCGTCCAGCAGATTCGAGCCGAAATCTTCAGCGAGCCTGTGCTCCGCGACTGCCAGTATGCCTCCAGCTTTGCGACGAACATGATCCGAGGATACGGGCCCCAGTAAGAGTCCCCTAGCGCAACTTCAAACCGGACAAAACAGGCTAACCCAAATCTCCAAGACGTGCCCCCTTCATCTTCAACGCCTGGCACAGCCCCGAGCTGCTGGCCACCATCTCCCGCGTCGCAGGGATCGAGCTTGTGCCCGCGATGGACGTGGACATCGGCCACGTCAACGTGTCCGTCAACGACGCCGCCGCCGAGTCAACCAAGTCTAGGTCCACCGACGACACAGACGACGACAGCGTGCCCGCCTTCGCCTGGCACCACGACAGCTACCCCTTCGTATGCGTGACGATGCTCTCCGACTGCGAGGGAATGGTCGGCGGCGAGACCGCGGTGAAGACGGCCAACGGGGAGGTGTTGAAATTCCGGGGTCCGCTGATGGTGCGTCGCCGCTCTCGTCCCCTTCACTATTAATCATTCCAATCAAAGCATCTATCTCCACCTCATCACATCCCCTCATGCTAACCTACCTCGTGGGATAGGGCACAGCCGTCGTCATGCAAGGCCGGTACATCGAGCACCAAGCGCTGAAGGCGATCGGCGGCCGCGAGCGCATCAGCATGGTGACCGCGTTCCGGCCCAAGAGCCCGCTGGTCAAGGACGAGACCGTCCTGACCAGCCTGCGGGGCATCAGCGAGCTGCCCGAGCTGTACAGCCAGTATGCGCTGTACCGGCTGGAAAACCTCGAGGAGCGGGTGCGTGCGCAGCTGAAGAAGCTACGGGAGCAGCACGCGCGGCGATGCTTCGATGTCGATGCGATTCGCGGGGCGTTGGGGGAGCAGCGGGCGTTCTTGGAGGCGACGCTTAGGGAGTTGGTGGATGTGTAGGTGTTTTGGTCTTGATTGTGGATGATGATGATGATGATTAATATGATTATGAATCTGGATTTGACAGTTTGTGTCTTGTGCTTGTCTTTGGTTTGATGAAGGGGGGTGTTGTGATCCTGGCTGGGGTGGTTGGTGTAGGTGTGGAAGTGATGGAAGGCGAGAGTGTTTGCCAGATGGCTCGCCTGGCACGTGCTGTTGGTGTTTGTTCTGTTTTATACATTATATACGGTACCTACCTTTCTTCAACCTCGTCACTCGCTCCCGTAAGAGGTCACTTCTTGCTTACATTGTCCAAAGTGATCATCCTATCATTGTTACCATCCAGTCATTGGATTCTTGGATACGGACCAACACACGAAAACAGTACTCACCTACAGGGGAAGCTGTACCACCATTGCGTCGAAGTTGGATACTTTGTTTTCCTTTTTCGTGGAGCGCTGGGAAATATGCTTGCTAATGGGGAGCAAGACTCTCCGACGGTCCTTGAAACATGGTCATTTGGGGTTCCTTTCAGCCTTAATTGTATTCAGTACTTGTTATCATGATCCGTAGAGGTGGGAGTTTGACAGGAATGGGACTACCTAGAGGCGAGTGCAGTACAATACAGGTGACTATCATGAGAACTGGCAATGCATGTGTACACTGGAATCACGCTACTCATAGTTTCCAAATCCTCACGCTCCCTCGCCCTCGGGGTTCAATGTTCGAGGCTTATTTGTGAAAGTGTCTACTTTCCCGTTGTCTGGGTGTGAAGCAGAGGCCAGGTAGAGAATGAGCGTTGTAACGGGCACTGGGAAGTAGACTCAATCCTCTTATCATAAATTGGATCGACTCAGTCTACAACAATTAGCCATGCACAAAAAGGACGTATCAACATTAGTCTAAATGCTCGCAAGTCAAATACAGCAAAGCCCTCGGCCCTCAACCAGCCAGCCAGCCACCCAATCCATCTATTCGGGGAATCGCAACCAGAACGAAATAAAAACAACATCACAAGCAAAGAAAGTGGCTAGGTAGTATGTCGAGCCGGTGCAGAATGGTAGGACGCCTCTATGTTCCATGATCTTCATGTCGAACAACAGTCTATCGGTCATGCCGTTCTGACAGATCCCAACCCACCGATCCAGGTCCAAAACGGCTTGGCCCAAGATCCACTGAACGCCGAAAACAAGTACACAACAAAATGTCAAAAGATAATCAGACACCCGTCCCGCTGGTGACTTAACACATAGCTCGTGACGCACGCCATGGATATCCAACGCTAAATATGAACACTCGAAGAGGAAGCCGAGGTGAGAAAATGGTAGAGAGATGAAGCTTCTGTCCAGCAGCAAGGAGGACAGGAGTGAAATAACCGGAAATGGAAGAAAATGGGGTCTCGTGGGTAGAATTGAAATAAATGTACCGCCCAAGATCCTTTGCGCCCGCTAACAAGCAGCCTGGTATTGTAAAGCTGTATGCATGGTTGGAATCAGACGGAGAAGAAACGAAAAGTATGCAATGCGTCGCCCGGGGTATTATGCCACTGTAGAGTTTGGAAAATTCTGCTTGGGAATGTCTCGTAATTGCCCATTATCAGCTGCTTCGTCATTGCGGAGATTGTCCTGGACCTGGATGTCCCATCGGCGGTGGACTACCAAAGCCCGCTTGTTGCACAGGATCGCCAGCGTACATCGGATACTGCACCACGCTCATGGGAGACATGGCGTTGACATCCTGCCAGCCAGGATATCCCATCGTCCCTGGCTGGCCAGGATAAGACACAGATACCGGGGTCCCTTGAAGATCGGCGGAAGGAGGACTCTGAGGGTTCATCGGAACGCCGGGGAACGATTGCGCCGGGCTGGTCATTCTGCGTTTGAGATCCGCGGGGAGCGGCTGCACGAACTGAGCGGGGTTGGGATAAGGTGCAGCCATATCGGTCGGTTGCGCAGGGAACGTCATTGATCGCGTGGGGGCGACCTGCCACACCGATCCATCGGGTTGCATTGCGTACGTGGGTGCAGCATTGAGTGCTGGGTTTTGCGACGGGACTGTCGGAGTGGCCGGTAGAGGGGACGCGGTCGGCATTGGGGCCATTTGGCCCGGCGTAGGGGCCCAGACATTAGCAGGTACGTTCATCATGGTCTTGCCCACGGCCATGGAGGCTAGCATCTGTTGATCGGGAATCGTTGTGAACTCATCCCAGGCCACAGTAGAAGGGTCGATGGACGGATGCGGCGCGAATTCGGAAGAAGGAACACTGCGCTCTGTGAGTGCGTTAGTTCATCAAACTCCCGCTTCATGAGAGATCCACAAACCAGGAGCAAACGTCGCCATCGGATTGCCGGGGAAGACAGCAGCGTTGAACCCCGATACGTCGGTATTCGCACCCAATGCCATTGACTGGTAAGGGAAGTACGCCTCTGTTTGATCGCCAGTGAGGGTTGGAGGCGAAGACGAGGCTGTCGAAGGATCTGTCGATGCCGTTTCCAACCGGGAACTCGGGCGCGATTTCTTCTCGATGGGGGGCTGCTGATCAACGGGGAAGAATTGGCACTCTTTTCGCAGTCGGATGCAGTTTTCGCATCGTCCCTGAGCATCATCCGCGGCAAGAAGGCATCGGATCTTCCGTCGTCGACAGTGCACTGGGGTGGTGATGATAAGTTCAACGGCTTTGAATGACATACATTAAAGGAGAGCTGAGCTTACCGCACGCGACAGAGGTACGATGATATCCAAGCTTGTTGCGCTTCTTATCTGCAGCGGATGATTCCATGATTGCGCCTTGTGGTATCGGAGAGGGGTCGATGTTCTGAACGAGTGAGGGCATAGCCCCAGCAAAGGTAGCGAGGCGGTACGATGAAGATCTGAGGCAGTAGCTGCATTAATCGCAGGGAGCCGAAGGTTGAGATGGTGGAGTCAAGTGGGATAGCGGAAGTAGATTCCCGACGCGCGAAGAGGATACAGAGTCGTCACAGGTTGTTGGAGTCTCGATAAGCAGGCTTCAAGTCAATGCGACAGACACTGGGAGTGAGTTTGTCGCTAGAAAAGCCAGGAGTGGGTGGGGGAGGTGAGATGAGAGTCTAACGGTGATCGCGGTCGTTATCGTGGTACGTATTGCGAATGGCCTCGTTTCAGCAGTGGGACTCCACACTTAGTCCGCAACAGGCACCGTCTAATGCCACACACACAACCAAACAACCACACAACCACAGTCCAGGAGAGAGGCAGGGTCGGTTTCACGCGACTTGAGCGGACCGGGGCGCAAGCACCACAAGTGTGTGAGACCTGGATTAAGATTCGTAGTCTTCGAGATTATTGTCCACCTAGTCTTGGCCAAGCTTCCTTGTCGCAATGTCAGCGGGGATGAGAGGGAGGGTGTCGCAAAGGATAAATTTCGGCCCAGCCCAGATAAATTGAAATGGCGGAGGGAACCAAGGATCCGCCCTGGAATATTAAAATAATTAAAGTATGTATTCTGGATGGAACACTGGAGCTGCAGGTAATCAAAGAAGGGTAAGGAACGAAGTGAGGCAGGAAACACGGAGGATGAAAAGATGTCAGTCGATGGAAAATAGTCGATGGTGCGGAATAATTAGTGGTGATAATGAGGATGGGATGGCTAACCCCAGAGCGGGGAGGAAGAGAGGGGAAAATGAGAAACGGTGAGGGGTGAAAGGATCAAGACGAGGGGATAAGAAAGAGAAGGAGGAGGTGAAGAGAGGGAGAAGGAGAGAAAGAGAGAGAGAGAGGAGGAGGAAGAGGGAGAGGGAGAGGGAGAGGGAGTAAAGGAAAAAGAGTGGTGGAAGTCGATTGAGTCGGCCAGTCGCAAAGTGGTAGTAGAGCAAGTACTCGTAGTGTGAACAGTAAAGTGAAGTCAAGTAAAACAGTCCAGAGGAAATACGGAGAACTCCCTCTGTAGTAGTGTCAGTAGTGTAAGTAGTGTAGTTTCGCTCGGGATCTAGGATGGATCTCGGGACTTTTAATTTATCTGGTTGGTTTTATTTCCTGCGATTGCTTTAGGATCACTTTCCCTTCTGGGACATCTGCGAGAGCTCGTTTCGCTTTGTCTTTCAACTCCTCTGCGAAAGTTCAGCCAACTGGAGTGCCGACAACGCAAAGGATCTGGCTGGTCTCAGTAGAGAGGGTATCCTCGATTGATGCCAGAGTGAACTTGGAAAGATAGGGCAGATACCCAAGGAAAAGGGGTGTTGAAAGCCAAAACACAAGGTAAAAGTATAAAATGTGAATAACAGGAAACACTATTTGGACAATCGCATCAGAGTCTCGAAACTTTATGAGGCTAACCGACAGTAGGTGGGAAAGGGAAAATTAAAGGAAAAAGAAAAGAAAAGGGAAAAAAATTCTTAGGAAAAAGAAAAATGCAGTAAACGGGGAAAAAAATAATATCTGCTATTCTTATTTTGTCCTTACTTGAATTAATGTGAAGAATGGGAAAAAGATCAGGGTGGGTAAGGAGAAAATCAACATCATAATCACTCAGTGGCAGATACATGCGCACTGTAGTTCCAGCTATCTACTTGCTCAGTGCTCACTAAAGGAGAGAGAGGAAAAGGCAGAAGATGACGAAGTACGGAGTAGCAAAGCAATCTAAAATGGGTGTTTTATTCGCGCACAATATCCATTACCCAATCTTGTGTGAGATCGCTAATAAGGTACTGTCAGTGCTGAAGCAAAGCCATGGACCAAGAGGACTAAACCTGGCCTCAGGTGGGCAATCTTATGCTAACTCCAGGGTGAAACACCTTCCTCGAGTGTTTTACTTTTTGCATCGTGTTCCTTGCAAAACTAGTCTAGGTCCCAGAAGACTACGACAACCACCACCACCACCACGATGATTAATGATTATGATGATGGTGATGATGCTTACCTCACTGACACTTTTCGCCTCCCTATCGGAGGTTCCGACAGGGGCAGCAAGCAGTCAGCTCCTCCAACAACCTCGATCATCAATCAGCCTCTACGCTTTGCCCGATTGAACGCGTTCATCCGACTACAGTTACTTCAGCGGGCGACAGAGATCATTACAGTGACCCGGAATGTGGCGGTGGATTGTACTGGTGTACTAATATGATTTCTAGATTGAGTCAGGGAAAGGAATGATAGGGAGCGACAGGGTTCAACATCTGGTTCCTGGCGTCGGAGGTGTATATTAGCCAGGGACAGATCCGATGATGACTGCAGGTGTGTGCAGGTCCCGATAGTGATGCTGGGAGGGTGATTCCTCTTCTCCTGTGGCAAGATCAGGCACAACTGATCATACCATTGAAGTCGGATGATGGCAGAAGACCGTTTTACCCCTGACCCTCTACCACTCTCCAGCTGGTTCATCCCAAACCACACGCACCCGTGGTCCCAAGAAGACGGAAGCTGTGACAGACAGCCGGAAGAGGCTTAGTGAGAGGTGGGGGGTGGAAGTAAGAGATGGGCAAACGAGTCAAAAAGAGGAGAGACAGAAAGTGGGGAGGGGAGAAGGTGGAAGGATAAGCCCTGGGGCTCTTGGGAAAGTGGGCAGGGCAGGAGCACCACCTCATGACGAGCATAGGTGATCGGAGATCTTGCCAGTAGCCATGCTGACCTACCGGATGAGGAATAGAAAAAGGAGATGATAGATCGCTCTGAGAGAGAGAACAGAGGAGAAGGGGGGTGAAGTCACTCAGCCTGATACAGTGCAATGAGTGCATAGCATGAGTTATCCGCGAGCTGTCAATGAATCCATGATTGATTTGAAGAACTGGGGAATCTGGATCCCGGGTCTTGCCCATTGAGCGTGGTTTTAAATTTAACTCCCTCGTTGGGACCCAGGGTTGAGGATACAGCGTTCCATTGGATAGCCAAATGAGTGGGTCGGAGGTGGGGCAGCAACTGGTGGTGGAATCCATGATTCTTTTTGACGAACCCAATCACAAAGTTCTACTCTCAGGGACTTGCCCTTTTGAGGCATGACTTGGCGGTGACCACCTTATCCCGAATGGGTTTAGCGTGGACATGAAACACAGGCCTCGAAGTTTGCTGAGCTTCTCGAAGCCCTTCTGGAGGTCCTGGAGGTCGGGACTCGTCATCAACTGGGGTCCTTTATCCCGTTGATTGGTGAGCCACCCTCTTCATCCCATCCCATCAATTTCTTCGTCATTTTGGCTGCCACCTTTCCGACCCTCCCACTGGTGCTTTCCCGTTGCTGCCCTTTAATGAGGATGAGCAGCTGGTGGGCAGATGGGTAGATTCATCCTTAGTCTCGTTTTCGTTTCTGGTTTCTCCTCCGACGCCCATCTCTTTCTCCAATTTCCCATTCTTCCCATTGTCGCTTGAAACCCGCACACCACAATTTCCTCCTTCCAACAGAACTAGGTGATATTTAGCAAATGCTCTCGCCCCCCCTCCCCCCATCGCATCGGTCTTTCCATGTCTCGATGTTCCCCATCGTTACTACATCGGAGCGTCAGGATAGCCTCCCCCTACTGCTGCAGGAAATAAACTCCGCTCCTGTCGGTGGGCAGACCAGATCTGTCACAAGGCGGTGGGCCCCCTTTTGGCCCCAGGTTTGATTTAAGGATCATATCTGCATTCTTCTAGTGTGGCCAGTGGGCTGGGCCGGACTGGGCTGACGGCCGTGGTCGGTAAGGGATCAGACTTGCATCGGTCCAGGATGACAGACCAGGGTGTGCAGGATATCTGCATATCACGATGGAGTCGAGACTGGAGCGACACTGTGCCAGTTCACACTAGCGATCAGATCTGGTTTCCACCGGACGAAAACAAGCGCGACCCGTGCGGAGTCTTGCTAGACAAGGTGCATATATCCATCAGAGGCTGCAGGTGTACGGAGTACACTACGATTGTAACCTGTACAGTAGAGAATTGGAGGCATTATTTCTCGAAGGGCAGGTTTGAGTAGATTAGGATCGTATTCACCGGCAATTGTTCAGGGTCCTTCTGAAACCTCCCTAATCATCATCTCTGGCGATAGCCATGGATGAGTCGGTCAAATCCGCCCTTAGCCTACTTTTCCGATCGTAAGCTGGAACCGAGCTGAGGGCCCTGCTACTGGCGATGGAGAGAGAGGTACGTATGCACTTTGTTGGAGGTCTCAGTAATACCTAATCATGGCGATGGTGGTGATGATGCCACTGTGTGCTTTACTATTTTTAGATCCACAGTACGGGGGACCATAGAAACTGCCGGGTGTACAACCCATGGAGTACACTCTACATCTCCTCTTCCGCCACTACAAAGAACATCAGGACTCAGGAGGCAATTGAGCAGTAATATGGCATCGTCTTGCTCATCAACCAAATGAAGCTGGACCCCATTTACTGAATGCAGCATGATAGTCATGAGCCCCGAGGATAGATGCCAGTTACTGGCGGAGGGAAGCGTGGATATTTCTCTTTTGGTCCATTTCTGCGTCGCTAGCGGGATCGGGCAGCGGATATACACGTAAGCGAAGCTGTGCTGATCCCACCTTAGTTTAGTGGCAGTGCGCTCTTTGCAGTGCAGTGGGAGTAACGTTAGTGAGTAGTGAGTACTCCGTACCTGCCTGTACTCACCAAGTGTTGCTGCTTCCACATCATCCACATCATCCACAATCCCACACATTTTCCCACATCCTCCCTTGCTTAACTTGAAACCAGTTCGCCTCAATCTATCTCTTGGGACCAACCAGTTCTCCCTACCTTTATCTGATCATCACACTTGGCACGACACTGCGAAGGCACTTTAACCGGATTCATTTCTTATTGGTTCCCTCATTGATCT